ATTTCAATAATTGAAATGGTAGAATAGTTTAAGTTTTAGCAATATTAAAAAAATAAAAAATCGATGCCTGTGAGACTCGAACTCACGCGGGAAATCCCAACGGCTTAGCAGGCCGCCGCCTTAACCACTCGGCCAAAGCATCTAACTTAGTAATATTATAAAGCATAATTATTTATAGTATAATTCATAAATCAATCTTTAATTTCTTATAACTGATTAATTTACTCTAATTATTAATTTTTATTTAATTCATACGATTTTATTTTACACTTACTAATTTAATTTTTTATACGACATAGATAATTGGAGTCGGTATTTTTGATCTTTAAGTTTCCAATATCTATCCATTGAAAATCTTATATAATTTTTTCTTGTATATTTAGTTCTACAAAATGGACAGTTTTTCTATCTTAAAAACCATTCTTAGAGATAAATTTAATGAAAATCTAAAGCAAGGAGTCCCACAACAAATCATTTGTAATTTATTATTATTTTTCTTCATTTATTCTTAACAAGCAGAATATTCTTCAAATTATGATAATCCAGAATAAGCAGTAATAAATTAATTATAGTAATTATTTATTATAAAATGATCTTCAATAAATTCTTAAAGCTTTTTTAAAAAATAAAAAAAATATTAGTCCTAAATATTATTTTTTTTGATTCTAATTTAATTGTATTCTAAATCCATTAAATATGCTGTTGTAGCTTTGTTAACCAGGAGATCGTAGGTTCAAATCCTACCAGTAGCGTTTTTTTTAATTTATTTAAAATTAGATTATTTTTATGATGAATTTTAAATTAATAAGTAATCAATTAGATCTATTCTTTTTAATAAAAAAGCTTTTAAACTAATGATATATTTATTAAATATATCATTTAAATAATAAAAATAATTTATTTTGAAAAAAATATCTTAATTATATTTTGATAAATTAGAAGAAGCATAAAATAAATTAAGTACAATTAATGACATATTATAGATATTTTATATTTATTATCAATTTTGAGACCAAAATAAATAGTTTTATGGTAATTATTAATATTCCTGTATATTATTCTATTTAGAAAGTTGTTAAATTATCCTTTTTAAAAAGTAATCTAATTTAATTTAATTTCATATGTTGTATTGAATTATTAAGAAAAGTAAACTCATGAATTAAATCTTATAAATAAATTTTATAAAATTTGTTAACAGTAACTAGCCAAACCTCTCAATAAATTATATTCATATTTTACTATTATTATAAATTGCAAACAAAAAATAAAAGTTTTTAAAAAATAAACTCTTTTTGTGATTTAATATATATTCATTTATTTTTATATTACATATTTTTAAATGTATCTTCAATGATTGAATTTAATTCATGTACTCCCAAATCTAAATATAACAATGAAAAATACCATGAAAATATTCATTATAACTCTGGAAATATGATTTTTCATTAAATATTGTAGAGTCTCTCAAAGGCTTTTAATATCTAAGCATTACAAATACAAAGAAATTGGCAATTTGTTATCGAAAAAACAAAAAACTTGCAAATGATAAAATAAAGGTGCCATATCCGAGAAAAGTCCACAAAGGAGAAACGGTAGAATATTCAGAAATTAGCTAAGAATAAATTACTATTAATTACTGATTCATCTGATCCAATGTGTTATGTGGTATTTGTGAATGTAACTAGATATATGTAACAATATATAGGAATCATAATTACTTAATAAGTTAGAATTAAATATTTTTGAAGTTAGAAAGTAAATAGTTTGTCATAATGGTATTCATTTAAGACACTATATTTATCATAGTAAAAGAAAATAATTTATAATACCAAACACCATATAATCATAATAGGGTTAAAAAATATCATCATCATGCCAGTGCTATAAATAAATAAAATATAAAATAATCTGCTTCTTATAGGAAAGAGAGGGGGAATGAGTAATTAATTTAATTACTTTTAGAAATATGAAGTAGGTTAAAAATTTTTCATTACTTTCTTTTTTGTAGAGTTATATTTCACAGATCTCAAATGGAAAATGTGTATTATTCCTTTAGCAATAAGTCTCACTTAAGCTAATTTACTAACTGCCAATACAACAGAAATATTATTTAAGGCCGAATATTGTTGTAGTATGCTTAGTACAAAAATAAATGGAAATGCAAGAATACAGACTTATTGAATAGGTGACATGAAAGTGATCATATTCTTTTCTTATAAAGAATATGTAGATCTTTTTGATCTTTTAGTCATAAAGATAACAAGTATAGTTGAAAAAACTGAAAGGAATACAATAAATAAGGTCATCACAATTACAACTAAACTACTAACCCAACCAGCTTTTCTTTTCAAATGTTATTCTAAAATAAATAATATTTCAAATAGAGCCATAATTATGATACCAACAAGTAGTGTTATGCATGTAGTTATAAGTCTCAAAAATAATCTTTTTAATGTATGCATCCCAATGTGTTCCCAAAAAATGTCATCTTATCGAAATCCTCTTTATAAATGTAAACCTTTTTTCTCATCTATATTAGATTTTTATATATTTGATTTTTGTTATTCTTCATTTTCTGGTAGTCTCAAAAGGTCTATTATACTCTAATTCATTTTTGCATTTATTTCTTATGGAGGATTGATAAATGTTTCAGATAAGCCTCTCACGATCTCTTAAAGATCTTATTATTCAGATATATTTGACGATTTTGAACTATGAGTTTGAGATTATTCAAGCAATTAAGCTTATAGTTCAACTTTATCCTTTTAAAATTCTTAATAATTTTATGCAGATTCTTTTATTGATTCAATCCTTTAAATTACACTATTAAAGAATGATTTATCATAATATTTATAAACTAAATTTGTTACGGATTCTGAATTAAATTTTAAAATAACTTTTTATGTAAATGGTAATCCATATTGCAAAGTTTTTTAAATATCCCTTGTCTATTTTATTAACTAAAAAACTAAATCTATTAATTATCCTTTTAATTCCAATTTTGGTTAGGTTTTTAGTTCATTTACTATTTATAATACTTTAAGANTTACATATTATAGATATTTTATATTTATTATCAATTTTGAGACCAAAATAAATAGTTTTATGGTAATTATTAATATTCCTGTATATTATTCTATTTAGAAAGTTGTTAAATTATATTATACAATATTTATTACAGCCCATTATAAAAATGGAATCGTGATTACTGACAGTAGAAAAATAGCTATAAATTACTTAAATTGGAATTTCTTCTTTGATCTAATAGCTGTTAAATTTTATTAAATTAAAATAGTTAATAATCTAACTATAAGACTAGCTCAGTGAATTTATGTAAACTAAGACATTTTAAGATACAGATTAAATTTATAATGATGATACATCCTTTTTAAAAAGTAATCTAATTTAATTTAATTTCATATGTTGTATTGAATTATTAAGAAAAGTAAACTCATGAATTAAATCTTATAAATAAATTTTATAAAATTTGTTAACAGTAACTAGCCAAACCTCTCAATAAATTATATTCATATTTTACTATTATTATAAATTGTAAACAAAAAATAAAAGTTTTTAAAAAATAAACTCTTTTTGTGATTTAATATATATTCATTTATTTTTATATTACATATTTTTAAATGTATCTTCAATGATTGAATTTAATTCATGTACTCCCAAATCTAAATATAACAATGAAAAATACCATGAAAATATTAATTATAAGTCTGGAAATATGATTTTTCATTAATTATTGAAGAAGAAATTGACAATTTGTTATAAAAAAAAAAAACTTGCAAATGATAAAATATGTATTTAATAATCATGTCAACCTTATTTGATTGATTCAAAAAAACGTTTTCATAATTTTAAAATATCTGACTTGAATAACAAATTTATTTTCAATAGCCTAGAGATTTAGAGGATTCAACTCTCTAATTAATTATAAAAGGAACATTAAACCCCTTATAATTTAGAAATGAGCCTATAAATGATTGTATGAATGTGGATAATAAAACACATTGATATTAATTAATTCTAAATTAGCAAATTAGAAGGATTTTGGAAAAATGATTATTTAGAGAGTAAAGGTTATGAAAAAGGAATAGAAGAATTCAAATCTACAAGTATTTACTTAAAATAATAAGAAAAATGTATAAGAATATTATTAGTGGAAAGATTGTTAAAAATTTATAGTAGATTAGTTAGATAACAAAAATAATAAATTTGAAATATATAACTGGTTTGATGAGAGAATATTTTAAAGAGTAATAAATTAATAATTATATGCAAGGTAGCATATATAAAGTAAAATTATTAAGGAAACTATAAATTTCCAGATGGAATGAAAAAAACTGGAATTTCTTAGCCAGATAAGGAACAAAGTTAAGCACCTATTTTATTAAAATAACAATTATGTTAATTATTATTACCTTTATTATCTCTTTATTTATTATTATTATACAGAATAACTTAATCTTTAACTTTACATTTTACAGTTATCAATTAAGAAACTAAAGATTATTTATTTATTAACATTTAAATATTTAGATATTTAACATAATCTTAAAGAAAAACCAACAAATTTAATCAATACTTTCATTGCTTTCAAAATAAAGCTAATGTGTTTTGATGGAGAGCAATAATCAAATGAGATTAAATTTTTATTTGAAATATTTTTATAATGATATTTATCTTAAACTCAAATTATATATTAGGAATTTCATAAAAATTAAGGATAGAAGTTATATATGTAAGGATGTTATTGATAAAGTAATTAGGAATTGGGGATATTACATTCAGTTTATTTTAATTAATTGAAATAATAATATTGCTGATAAATTTAATAGTTGAAATAAGAGTAATATAATTATGGTTAATTGAAATACTATTATTAAAGTTTTTGATAATTTGGGCAAATTGCCAAATTCTTGTTTTCCTCTTTTACTTTAGATGTTGATTCAATCTCACAATTTTTTGAACCTTTGATAGGTACTTTTTTATCTAATATTTCTTGCAAAGTTTTGATTTCTAAATATTATTTTATATTGTCTATCTTACTCTCTTAGTTTATTACAATTTCTGAAAGATTATTTAAGTTTTATGATAGTTGATCATTTTTTTATAAAAGTTTAAGCTGAAATTTTTATCGTTTTTTTAATATCAAAGAAAAAGAAGTAATTAAAATTTAACATTCTTTCTTGTACTTGAGCTTTTTAACAATATTAGAAATTACTTCTAAGTATTATTAGATTTGTTATTATACAGATTTTGCTTTATTCAAGCTAAACATTAGTTATTTTAATTTCTAACTTAATTTATTATATTCAGAGTTCTTCTCATTTTTTATTTCTATTAAATAATTTTACAATGTTTTTAATAGTTCAAAAGGCTTGTTTGAAGAATAAATTTAAGCTATATTAAGTTTACAATCTGAATTACTGTTTATATTCTATAATTATATTTAAGTCTATTCCATTGTAGCTAAATATAATTCTTACAATTCATCTAAATGAAGTAATACTTTTTTTATTCCTGAGAATGATAACTAATTTTTATGTATATTACCGTTTTTCATATTTTATACACTAATATTTTTAATTATTTCAATTTTATAATCCTATAAATTCTATAAAATTGTTTATGCTTTCGATGTTTAGATAAATTAGATACTTTTTAAAATTTTTCCTAAAAAGTAAATATAAAAAAGTTCATCTGTTTGAAATATCAGAAAGAGGGGTAAATGATACAAGATTAATATATTATTTTATTTATTATAATATTATAAATAAATTAGAATAGGAAAATTGAAGTATAATAATATTATATGATCTAAAGTAGAATGACATCACCTAAGAGTAAAATCTTATTTTGCTCTATTTTTTATTCTTAATTGTATTCAACATGTGGAAATCTACAAAAATAATAATAAAAATGAAGATGAATATAATAAAAAAAATGATCGTTAGTAATTTACTAGGTATGTTTAAGACAACTAAGTAAATATGAGAGATATTAATAATTCTTAACCTCAAATAGTTAGAAAGCATAGATTATAAAAATAAAAAAATTTTTAATGAATTACTAATACTTTATAAAGGTTTTGAGAAATTTTGAGTTGAATTAAGATTTATTGTAAAATTAAAAGTAATTAAAATTGAGATTTGTATGAGACTATCAAATATTTATTTTGGAGAGCTTTAAGATTTCGAAGAAGAATTTAAAAAAATAGTTGAAGATATTTGATCAAATAAATTTTGATTTAAAAGAATAAGCATATATTGTGTTGTAAATAATAAAGATAAAAATGATTGGATATATTATTGAAATTTTTTAAAATAAAAAGAGGTTTTATAGATTTTCTATTGTAAATAGACGATTAGAAAGATTTTTAGAATAATGATAGATGTAGATAATTTAGAAGTTGAAAAATTTTGGATTGAGTATTTTGAAAAATAATAATTAATTAATTATATCGTTAATGCTGAGTCAAAAAAATTTATTAGCTGGGGAGGAAGATTTTAATTTAAATAAATTTCGAGATTCTTTGTATCTTAGAATGTAAAGTCCAAGCTAACAAAAATTGAGCAGTATAAAAAAAGAAGAGAATTCAGTTAAGAAAGCAGGGAAAAATTTATTAAATACAGATATTTAACATAGAAAGAGGTGGTTTAAATAAGTATAAATAGTGTACCTTCATTTGATGAGTTATTAAAGTGTATGAATACAAATAATGGATGTGGTTAATAATAAAATGCATCTAATAATAAGAAAAATATCACTGATTCATCTCGAAAGATGAGTGGTATATATAATAAGATAGAATGTATGGGAAATAATGAAGTTAATTAAATAACAAAATTATCATAACCGTAATAAATAGTTTATAACAAATATAGTTTTATTTCCAACACTCCTTTATCAGTATCTAATAATTAATAAAAAAAAAGGACAACTTTCTCGAGTAGTATTACAGAAAAACCTGTTTTTTCGAAAGGGGATGGGAATTTATTAATGGATAAGTTATCTTTAAAAGAGTTAATGGTAATTCATAGTAAAATAGATAATAGCACATAATCAGAAGTACATGAATTGTCAGCAAATTATGTGTAAGAATTATTGAAATTATCTTAAATAATAATCAGACAAATAAAGCATATAAAAANTAATAATAAAAATGAAGATGAATATAATAAAAAAAATGATCGTTAGTAATTTACTAGGTATGTTTAAGACAACTAAGTAAATATGAGAGATATTAATAATTCTTAACCTCAAATAGTTAGAAAGCATAGATTATAAAAATAAAAAAATTTTTAATGAATTACTAATACTTTATAAAGGTTTTGAGAAATTTTGAGTTGAATTAAGATTTATTGTAAAATTAAAAGTAATTAAAATTGAGATTTGTATGAGACTATCAAATATTTATTTTGGAGAGCTTTAAGATTTCGAAGAAGAATTTAAAAAAATAGTTGAAGATATTTGATCAAATAAATTTTGATTTAAAAGAATAAGCATATATTGTGTTGTAAATAATAAAGATAAAAATGATTGGATATATTATTGAAATTTTTTAAAATAAAAAGAGGTTTTATAGATTTTCTATTGTAAATAGACGATTAGAAAGATTTTTAGAATAATGATAGATGTAGATAATTTAGAAGTTGAAAAATTTTGGATTGAGTATTTTGAAAAATAATAATTAATTAATTATATCGTTAATGCTGAGTCAAAAAAATTTATTAGCTGGGGAGGAAGATTTTAATTTAAATAAATTTCGAGATTCTTTGTATCTTAGAATGTAAAGTCCAAGCTAACAAAAATTGAGCAGTATAAAAAAAGAAGAGAATTCAGTTAAGAAAGCAGGGAAAAATTTATTAAATACAGATATTTAACATAGAAAGAGGTGGTTTAAATAAGTATAAATAGTGTACCTTCATTTGATGAGTTATTAAAGTGTATGAATACAAATAATGGATGTGGTTAATAATAAAATGCATCTAATAATAAGAAAAATATCACTGATTCATCTCGAAAGATGAGTGGTATATATAATAAGATAGAATGTATGGGAAATAATGAAGTTAATTAAATAACAAAATTATCATAACCGTAATAAATAGTTTATAACAAATATAGTTTTATTTCCAACACTCCTTTATCAGTATCTAATAATTAATAAAAAAAAAGGACAACTTTCTCGAGTAGTATTACAGAAAAACCTGTTTTTTCGAAAGGGGATGGGAATTTATTAATGGATAAGTTATCTTTAAAAGAGTTAATGGTAATTCATAGTAAAATAGATAATAGCACATAATCAGAAGTACATGAATTGTCAGCAAATTATGTGTAAGAATTATTGAAATTATCTTAAATAATAATCAGACAAATAAAGCATATAAAAAATTGATAAATGATATATATATATATTAAATAATAATAATAAGAATAAATATCATTAAGAAAATGGCATCTAAAAATTTTATATAGAAAAGAGTAGCTGAATAATTTACAAAAAATATAATTTTGCCAAATAGACCGAAAGATTTATATTCTTATTAAAAAATGTTGATGCACAGATGCACAAATTTAGGAATGAAAGAATTAGATATAATTTTAGGGAAATGGTCTTAAGAATTTGTACCTAAGATGAGTTATGAGGAATTAAACTAAATGGAATCTGAAATTTTAGATTTGGATACGATAGATATTTATAACCTATTATTGTAAGTGAAAGTAGCAGAAGAGTTGAAAGCTTTGGAAGGATTGAAGTATGTATAAGAAATAAGAAATTATGCATTAAAAGGCTTGATATGAGATGACTATTAATTATAGAGATTATTAAATAATAATAAAAATAATTAAATGTTCAAGAATAATTTCTACTCTTATGTGGGTGGTACTAGATCAGATATAGCTATGAGTATTGAATCATATTTTGAAGTAATGGAAGTCTTATTGGATTAATATATGAGTAGAGAAGTATGTAATATGATATTATCAATAATCAGATGTTATTCAACTTCAAGAATTGCAGTCAAGTACTGAATGATATTGTGGTTTCAGCACCATTAGCATTTTTGCCTTTTTCACTTCTTGGAACATAGTGGCTCTTTGCAGGTGCTAATAGAAAAGGAGCTAATAAAGCATATGGACCAATACTTGCATCTGTACATATGTTAGTATTATGGAGAGCTTATACTGCTCCTATTCCAAATAAATTATTCACTAAAATAATTGCTGATCCAACTATTGATGGATAATATATTAGGTATCAAATTATTATTATTAATTTTAGAACTTAATTATCTGTTATGAAACCAGGTTTATGGTCTGTTTTAAGCAGAGAATTATATCATAAAGGATATAGATTTCCAGAAATGTTAGAATTCAAGACAGCTACAGAATTCCCAACTGGATTTGTCAAACCTTATTGATGCTTCATCAACATTATAAAATAAATATATCCAATATTTAATACAAATTTTTATTTTATTTTTAATACAAAAGTATATGGAGGCAGATTAACTATTGGTGACTAATTTTTTTATAGAATAATAAATAAAAATATTAAAACCCTAACCTTTAGCTATTAAATAAAGTGCTGAAATCTTATAACATTACTATAAATTGTAAGCAGTAATAATTTTAACATATTACCATATTTATTAGAAAGAATAAGTCAAAATACTCGAAACATCTTTGCTCAACATTTATTCATTTTTCCTATCAGACAACTTTGAGGGTTATTAAGATATTAATTCTAAAATAAATAATTTAGTGGAAGATATTTCTAAAATTGATGATCATACTATAAAAAAGGGACAATTTCGTAGATCCATTAATCGAAAGTCATTATAAAAGTATATTATTCTATATATTAATATATTAAATAGATCATTTAAAATTTTAGCTTTAAAACTCAGAATAACTTACGACATTATCAGTAAAAAATGGATAAATAAACAAAATTTAAAAAATTAATTACGATGGTCTAACCTATGCATTAGAAACATATAAAAGTATATTGAGATATTTAAGATAAAGTTCTTTGAATTCAGATTTAACATAAGTTTCTAAGAAGTTTTATAAAATGTTTATTTGCAGAATTTGTGAACAACCAATCTAAGCAACACTTATGGCTTAACATTGTATAAAGTGTGAACAATAAGCAGAAAGCAAAAAAAGATTATTAGAATTAAATTTAGAATTAGCAAATATTTGTGAATAAGCATATTTAGAAAAGAGAAATGTATAAGTTTAATTGGCAATTAAAAAGTATTATAATAATATCGATAATTAAGAATGAGAGATAAAACAAGAAAAAGATAATATCATAATACAAAATATATTTATAGAAGAGTCTAGACTTTAGATGATTAGGATGAGGATGATGATAATTAAAATGATTATCAATAAGAATTGAACAATATAGTAAACATAATGACATAAATTATTAACTTTGCTGAAAAGACATTAAATAATGCTGCTGAAGTTGAAGATACTAAATGTAATAACTTTTCTTGAGCTTTATTAATAGAAACTTTAGTAATGTTAAATGACATAGTCAATGCAATTTAATGTATTGAAAGCCAAGATACCTTGTCGATAATAAATGCAACTCATAAATGTCTATTAGATAGACTTGATTATCAAAAAAAATAAGAAAATATTGTCAATAATTCAATTGAAGGATCCCCAAATTAAACTTAAGATAATATTAATAAGATTAAAAGAGCATTTACTAAATCTAATTCAATATCATTTAGAATGCCTAAATTTTAAAATTCTGCATCTCCTTCTTAAAGAATATCTACAGATCCAATTTAAGAAGAAGATGATTCACCATCATCTCCATAAATTCAATCATCTTAAAAACTTATAACTTAAAGAAAATATTTTAAAATGAATTCTTCAATTTTTAAAATCAGTGATGGATCAGAATCACCAAAATCAATTAAATAACCAACCCCTTTAGTATAAATGAAAATTAGTAATTTCTAATAAACAGAAGTAAATTAATCAATAAATTCTTCTATTAATGAACTTACAATAGAATAAGCTAAAAAATAATCAACTAATGATCTTAAATAATCAAGAGATAAAATATAAAGTTCATTATAAAAATTATCTTAATTCAAAGCATCTATTTAACCTCTCTTATTAAAAAATTAAAAAGGTTATCATTTAGAAGAGATTTCAGAAGAATAAAAATAACAAAATAAAATTAACATTTAAAAATAATCCATTAAAGATAGTGAAAATTCATCTAATATTTCAAGTATAGAATCAGGCAATTCAATAACAAATAATAATGAAATAAATAATTAAGCTCCTAAAATAAAATAAAAAAAAAAAAAGAAATTAAGTTTTTAATCATAAGAAATTGAAAAAATGTAATTAAATTCTAAAAATACAGAAAGAAAGAGTAAATTCTTTGAAAATTAGTTTTGTAAATCTCCTATGATTGCTTAAGAAAATGCTATGGATGAAGTTTTAATTGATAAGGGTTATCATTCTGATTCAAATTTAATAAAAACAGCTTCTTCTTAATTAAATGAAACTTCAAAAGTTGGAATTAAAGATTTTGAATTCATAAAATTATTAGGCAAAGGTGCTTATGGATGGGTATTTTTAGTAAAAAAGAAAGGATCAGGAGATCTTTATGCTTTAAAAATAATAGATTGTGCTTAAAGAGTAATATGCAATAATATAATAGAATTTAGAAGCATTTTTAGAATAATTAAAAGCTGAAAGAAATATATTTGAAATTCTAAATAGTAGTTTTGTTGTAAAAGCTTACTTTTCTTTTGTTCATGAATAATACCTTTGTTTTGTACAAGAATATATGATGGGAGGTGATTTAGCTAGCATTTTAAAATAATACACAGTAGAATCAATTATTAATTTATTTAGGCTCTTGATGAATTTTATGTTTAACATTATATGGCCGAGATAGTTTTGGCTTTAGAATATTTAAGATAATAAAATATTGTACATAGAGATTTAAAACCAGAAAATATATTATTAGATTGTTAAGGACATTCTAAGCTAGCAGATTTTGGACTTTCTGAATAAGGAGTTAATAGTAGATTAAAATTAAAAGAAAATTTGACATCTACTGTTGAAATACCAACTTGTGTTGAATAAATTAGTGATTAATAAGCTTATTAACCTATTTATAAATAGCTTAAAAAAGTTGAATCTATTTTAGTAGAAAAATAAGGCAGCAAAACTAAAAAGTAAAATAATTATATTTATATTTTTAGGATTGTTGGAACCCCAGATTATATTGCTCCAGAGATTATATTAGGAACTTCAATTAGTAATTTTAGTTCAGATTATTGGAGTTTGGGTATTATAATGTATGAATTACTTTGTGGTATTGCACCTTTTAATGATGATACTGTTGAGAAAATTTTTGATAATATTCTCAATATGAGAATTGAATGGCCTTAAATAGGAGATGGAGAAGATTGTATTTCAGAATAAGCTTATGATTTAATTGTTAAATTATTAGAGCCTGATTTTAATAAAAGAATTGGACATAAAACTATTGAAGAAATAAAGAATCATAAGTTTTTCAAAGGTTTTCAATAATCTTATATTTTTAGGTATATAATGGAACAGACTATTAAGTAAGCCAGGATTAATTATTCCAGAATTAAATTGTGAATCAAAAGACACTGAAAAGATGCAATAATTTTTAAAAAAATTAGAAAAAACTAATAAAGATTCAGAGAATAAAAAATTAGCATAATAATTGAAAGCTTAACTTTAAAATTTAGAAAGAATAGATTTATTGAAATAAAGAAGCACTTAAGAATCAGAAAAATATTTGTATAAATAATTATTAATTAGATCACAAGTGTAATATGAACAAAAGAAAATCTAAAATTAAATTGATTTACTTACATAACTTTATGCCAAAATTTACTAAATTTACTCTAAGATGTAGTGAAAGAAATTATTATTCTAATAAATTATTATGTATATTTTTTAAAGGATCAATTTTATATTTACTAACATAACTAATATCTAGAATATATGTATATATTATAAATATCCATGTATACAAAAGATGGTAATTAATTGTTTAATGAATAAAAATATGAATAGGAAGTTCTTTTAACTAAGATAGATGACAAGGAATCTTGACGAGTGTTTCAAAGAAGATTTAGATCTCTATGTAAAATTATTGTAAAAGAAACACCAGCCAAATACATAAAAATTGAACAATGATAAATAAATGTTATAATAATGGGATTAATTCAAATAGTTTAGATTATCAAGCATAATAGATACAACTTTGGATTCGGATATATTTAAGATATGTATTTGTGATTTTTTGAAAAAAAAAAAAGTAAGTATGGAATTTTGGATAAAAGTTGCATATGATGTATTTCATGATGAAACTAAAGGTAAATAAGTTAGAATGAAATTTTGGAGATCAATGAGAAAGAAATCTAATAGTTTGGAATTAGATTTAAAAAATAAAAAATGGCCTTTAGCATGGAGATATTTAGAAAGAGAACCATGTTTAAATCTTGAATTATTGAAATTGTATGAGCAATACATGCCAATACGTCCGTTTTTTGCTTAAACTTTAAATACTATGACAAACATAACTTGTGATTTAAGAAGAATGCCAATGTTAAAGGAAGAAAAATCAATAGAATTTGATCTATCTAAAACAACTTGGTTTCCTAAAATAGATATGTGTGGACCAGCTATTTTAGAGTAATTATCTAGTTCAGATAACTTCTTTTGCGAATAATTAATTAAATTTACAACAGAAATGAAAGCAATAATGTTTCCAATTTTAGATTTCTTTAGATTAGATAAGAAAAAAGGAAGAATAATTAATTTATATGGTGAACAACATGATTTTGTATTAGAAGTACTTTATTCATTAAAAGCTTTTTGTGGATAATCAATAAATTATACTTAAGGATCATTAAAAAAGAAAAAGAATTATAAATGTACAAATTCATATAAAATTAATGAAATGTAATGTAGCATTATGTTAACAACATTATCAGAAAATGATTTAAATTAAGATGTAATTAATGACATTTAAAATAATATTTAAGGAGGTTATTCAGCATTTATTTAAGATAATTAAATGTATTATCACAATGAAAAGAATCAAAGGTTAGTTCTTATATTCAGTTAAAAATAATTACAATTTGGAAGATTGAAAAAAGGAATTAAATTCTATTAAATTCCTGATTAGCAGATATCTGTATTAAAAAATAAATTAGATTATGAATTTCTAGTTTATTATTCAAACATTTTATTTAATAAATGTATGATAGTATAATAGAATTGCAGTTCAAGAAAGCCTTTCTATCAAGTGATGATTTGTATGTGGACATATGTATTGGCTGTCTATTTATCAGGTGAAATTCCAAATTTGGAAGGAGTTAATGTTTTTTAAGATAATGATAAGGAAGATTCTTTAGTAGACATTTAAATTGATTTAGGATTAAGTTCTTATGAATAAACTTATGCTGAACCTGAATTTGAATAAGACTAATTTTAAAAAACAAGCTTTGAATTTACAAACCAAGTTGGAGGAGTTAGTTTAGACCCAAGTGAAGAGGAAGACTGTATGATTGTAGACTAAATATAAAAAAAAAAGAAAATTATCTTAGTATGATTTAATAATATATATCAAATAATTATAAGAATTATTGTTATGATAATAATTTAATATAAATTTCTATTGAAACTATTTAAATATATTAAGATTATTTTATATAAAAACTTAACTTAGAATCTGAATAAGTTATGAATAGATGATTTAAAAAAAAAAAAGTTCTTAATATTTATTAAATTATATCTTATAGGTTCTACTTTGTAAATAATTTAAAGCGAAAATTAAGTTAAGTGGAGCATATTTATTATAGTAGATTTCCTATTCAGGAAATGTATTAAATAATAAGTTATCTATTTTCGTTAAAAATATATCTTATTTTTATTCTACTTAGCTACTCTGGATTTAATGAATTGCAGCAAAGGTTTAGGTAAAGTTGATAAGGATTTGATTTTTAAAAAATTATCAACATCTGTTTATTATATAATTAACTTCATTAAATAATAATTCAAAAATGCTGTAAGACCATCCTTTTCTCTGGATTTTTATAAATTAAATGTATAAATTGCTATTTTTTTTTTAAAAAAGGAGCTTGGAAAATTAAAAAAACACAAAATAATCGATAAGATCAAGGTAATTGGACATTTATGATTAATAATTGTAATGTTTATCATATTGAAATGTTTCAAAATTTTAGATAAACAGATGATTTGAAAATAAAATTTTCAGAAAATTAAAGAGGTGATTATAGTGAAATTATCTTTGCTAGTAATTCTTAAAAAACTATTTGGTTATTAATATCATATAAAAGTTGATCTAATTATCATGTTTATTTATATATAATGTATAAGAATAAAGTTAAAAGGAATAAAATTATTCTTATCAAGTTTCAATTTTTTAAAGATAAATTAATATCAAGGAGAAAATTAACACTATTAGAATTGAGTACTAAAAAGTGTTTAAAATAGATTAAACAATAATAGTTTATTTTATTTATATATATATATTTTTACCGATATGTTCCTTAATCCTGAAATGATAAATGAGGCTTAAGATTCCTCTGTTTAAAATTCGTAATTAAATTCACGACAACAACTAAAAGCAAGGTCAAATAACATGAATCGATTTTAAGCAAAAGCAAAAGATGAACCAAAATAAAATGAAAAACCTTTGAGTAGAATTTAATAAGTATATTTGTAATCTTATGGATCTAGAGAGAAATTGAAATTCAAAAAAAGTAGGTTGAATCCTAGATTAATGAAAATAATGATATGGTAGAGAGTATTGTTTAATTTGATTCGGATGATGAATAAAATGTAGCTAATTAGATTATAAATCCTTTAATTCTTGGATAATAAGATTATGAAGAATAAACTGTATATATATTTCCTATTTTGAGTAATAATAACAAGTTATACCTTCTAAACCTAAGACATTTGATTCAATCAGTGCATTATAAAATAATACTTAATATAAAAAGAAACTTGGTCAAAATGAAAGCTCTTATGGTCAAGAGTATGATTTTAAGATGGATTAAGTAATTAATTGCAAAATTATTAGCTAACCATTATTGGAAACAATCATAATTAATATTATGAGCCTGGGTAATAAATAAACTAATAAAATGATCTTCCTTAACTTTCAAAACAAAATAATAATGTTTAATTTGATTATACAAAAAAAAATTTAGAAAACAAGAATAAATTAAATTATGAAGAAATTTAAAATCAAAATAATCCTTCAAAATATCAATAATTAGATGAAAAAAATGAAGATGAAGAAATCATTTAAATTGATCTTGAAAAATCTGAAATTTCTTTTTAAAATAATGATAATAATTAAGAATAAAACACAAAAATTAACTCTAAAAATGAAAAAGAATAATAAGAAAATTTTATTTTTGATGAAAATTCTTCGGAATAATCAAATGATGAATAATAAAAAATAGATTAAAAATTAAAGCAAGAGTAATAAACTTAATAATAATAATAGTAATAGTAATAATAATAGTAATAATAATAATAATAGTAATAATAATAAGTTTAGACAAAATAAAATTGTCCATATCCAAAAGCTTTAGCCTCTATTTAAATGCCACATGGTAAGAAACATTTTCTTGTAAATCCTGCATAGAAAGGAGGAATGATTTAATGTACTATAAAACGAGATAGAAGTGGAATGTGTAGATTTTATCCAAAATATCATATGCATATTTCAAATGGATTTTTATATTTGATGAGTGCAAAAAAAAGAGCATGTAATAATACAAGCAATTATATCATTTCATAATCTAGAGAAGATATGGAAAGAAGCGAAAATTTTTTAGGTAAAGTTAGAAGCAATTTTATGGGAACTGAATTCGTTTTATATGATTCAGGATTAAATCCAGAAAAAACAAAAGATCCATAAAAATTCAGATAGTAATTAGGAATTGTTCAATATGAAAGTAACATACTTGGTTCAAAAGGACCTCGTAAAATGGTGGTAATTCATTTAAATAAATAAAGGTATTATTGCCAAATTTAAATGAACAAGATTAGTTATTTGAATTCAAGCCTTCAAATTCAAAGGATGGAATATTAAAAGAATATTTAAATGGCAATAAAGATTAAATTGTCGCTTATGTTAATAGACCTCCTCAATGGAATAGCAAACACAAAGCATTTGTTTTAAATTTTTATTAAAGAGTTGATAAACCTAGTGTTAAAAACTTTCAACTAATAGTAGATTAGAAAGAAGACAACATATTACTCTAATTTGGAAGAGTTGGGGAAGATCTTTTTAATTTAGATTTTTAATATCCTATTACTCCACTTTAGGCATTTTAAATTGCATTAACTAGTTTTGATTACAAAATTGCATGCGAATGAAATGTTTTGTCATTAAAATAAATCAATTATATATATATATTTTTATTATACAATAGAACAAATGTAAAACAAACCATTGGATTGGATTTGTATTGGATGCAAAAACTTGAATTATTCTTTTAGGAAATACTGTAACAGATGTAAAACTTTCACAAGAGAAACCCCAGGAACAAAATTTATCCCACTAGAATAGACAAATTTAATTGATTCATTGAAACTCTCAGAGCCTGATCTAACCGGAAGTGGACATAGTACCACAGATAGTATTGGAAGTAAAGCCCAAGATTAGGCCGTCTTTCATTAAGCTCTCTTTTTGGAGAATTTAACACAGAGCAAGCAAGAAACGGTTAACAAAAACTTCAATTTTATGAAAACTTGTACAATATGTAGAACAGAAAATTATTTTTATCAATCCAAATGTAAACAATGTGGATTTAAAATTGCTTTATGATCTAAGAATTTCATGACTTGATTTTAATTATTATTCATAACTATTCTTATGCTGTAATTCAATAATAATATATTAAAAATATATTTTTTATCCTATTTTATATTTAGGAACCCTTTCTGATTTGTAAAATGATTTTAATTTATAAGATAATTAGTAGTTCTATGAGTATTCTAAATGCAAGGAAAGTTTGAACATATTTATCTCAAATAAAATCTAATTTTCTTATATACAATAAGATTCTAAAAAATGTTAAATTCCAATAAATACTATCTAAAATATCCAAAATTTTGATACAATTCAATTTTTAATGTTAATAATGTTATATTAGAATTGAGAAATATAGTTAGTATCTTATTTATACTGAAAGACAATATTACATAGATAACAATTTTATTTACAAATTTATAAAAATATAATAAGAATTTTCAGATATCCTATTGCAAAGAGAACTCTTACATTAATAAGATTAATAATTTTTTATTAAGAGAATAAGTAATTTAATTAAATGAAAAAAAATATATTGATTGACCATGATTAATCAATACCACTTCAATAGACTATATTTAGAAATAATGTCTCTGTATTACCTTTACTAGTTAAGAAAAATAGCATGGGTTTAGTTTTAGAAAACATTCCAAGAACATAAACATTTTCAAGATAAATGCAATAATCATGTCTTAATGATAGTGTCTAATAATCTAGAACCCCTACCATGAAAAATGATTCATTGTATGGTAATATTTTTAAGAAGCCATCTGTTATTAAAAAAAAACCATTTGTATTAATCAAACCTGAAAATGATTTTACATGGCCACTTTTCAAAATAAAAAATGATCCATTAATTAAATAATTTTGGGATAGAAGAGCATAAAAGGATTCTGATAAAAATTGGATATTTGATGATTATTTATTTGCTAATAATATGTTGAGAATAGGGAAAAAGAAAAAAATTGTTAAGGGCTATTATTATAGATTAAGCCATTCTGGATTATTGATGTACTATAAAAAAGTATTAATATAATTAAATTAAAAGGAGTCAGATAAATTACCGAAAGGATTCTTATAATTGAACATGTAAATAAGAATAGTTGTAAGTTTTCAAAAGACAAAAAGAAATCTATAATTACCTGTATTGTATTTAGAAAAGAGTCATGGTATTGGAATAACTATTTTTGATCACTTAATTGATCAAACATTAAAATTAGGTGAGTGCATATAATAATTTTGTTTAATGAGAGGTTTTACTGTTTTATACGAATAACTAGAATTATTGGGAAGCGGGGCTTTTGCTTCAGTTTTTAAGGTAAGTCGAAAAAGAGATGAAAAATATTTTGCAGCAAAAACATATTTCAAATAATTTTATGACGATCATCCTCAAAAAGAAAGATTGCTTGTAAAGATATTTATTTAAATTAAGGTTAGTCAATGGTTTATAATGAAATTACGACTCTAAAAAATGTTGATCATTAAAATATAATTAAATTATATGAAGTAATTCAAGAAAAAGATAAACTGATTTTAATTATGGAATATTGTGCTGGTGGAACATTATATTCATATGTTAAATAAAAAGTTAAATTCAATGATAAGCATTACGCTTATATATTAAAGTAATTATGTGATGCTCTATCTGAAATGCATAGATTAAACTTTGTACATAGAGATTTGAAATTAGAAAATCTCATGTTAGAATCAAAAGATTATTTATAATTAAAATTGGTTGATTTTGGTTTTTCTGAAGTTATTAATGAAAAATAATTGATTAGTTAGGCTGGAACTCCTGGTTTTCTTCCTCCAGAAATATTTAGATAAATACCATATATTGCTAAAAGTGATATTTTTAGTTTGGGAGTAATTATGTATTTGGTAAGCATTTAATGTCATTAAGATTGTTGCTGGATATATGCCATTCAAAGCACCAACAGCCACATAAATCTTAGAGTTAAATAAGAAATGCTAAGTTAATTTTGATAAACCACCTTGGTAAGATGTTAATCCAGATTTAAAGTATCTAATTAAAAAGATGCTTGAATTTAAAATTGAAGATAGAATAAGTTGTTTAGAAATTCTAGATAGTCCTTATATTTTGCATCATTCTCGTTAGACATCAGAAACTAATTATAAATCAAATTAAATGTTAAGTGGACTTGAATTGGATAAGTCTAATAGATAATCAATGAAAAGTATTAAATAGTCAGAATAATCTAATGATAGAAGTAAAGAATTTTAATTAGATTTTTCTATTCATACAAATGATATAAAGTCATTATATCAAAGAAATTCTTAAAAAACTAATAAATCTAATCGATCTATAAATTCTTTAGCTAAAAATTCATCTTAAAAAAAGATATCCAGATCAGTGCCAAAAGAATGTTAACTCTCTAAATTTTAGAGCACGAAAAAAGTTGAAGATTAAGAATCAAATTAAAGTCAAAGTAAAAAATAGAATTCTTTTGGAAATGTAATGATAGGTAAAAAAAATTGATTATTTTTTTATTAGAATAAGAACAAAAGATTATAACATTTGAAGACACAGACTCTTTGAAATTAGAATAAATTCTATATTTAAAAAGGGCTGGGTTAGAATTTAATAAAATAAAAAAACCAGTTGTTTAACCTTCCAACTAAGAAAACTGAACAATTTATCTTCATTTATTTTTGCTATTTTTATTTTGTATGATTAAAAAAGTTTAAAATATAAGTTAATTATTTTTATTAATATTCACTAACCTTTTTTCTTCTTAGGAGGGAGTAAGGGGATTTTTTTCAATTTTTTAGTTTATGATCCTAATTCTAAAAATGATTAATAAAATAGCTTACATTAGTCATTATTTTAAAGTTAAATCTATTATTAAGGCATAGCTTATTCTTTGGGATCATCATTAGAATAATCAGATCCTTCATCACCAGAATTATTTTTATCATCTTTTTATTAATTTTTCAGACTATTCTATTCTATTTCTTCCAAAACTTATTTAACTTTAATCTGTTCTGGTTCATAACAATCTATAATTGATAAACAAAAAGATTATGCAATTTCTTTGTAAATATCTAGATTAAAGTGAAAATATTCATATTTTCCAAAGTCAGCTCCACAAAATGACATTTCTAATGTATAACAATTAATAATAGAAAGTTCTCTCCATAAAGCAATCTAAATATATATGAATATTACTCTAGCTGAGCCTTCTCTATCTTTTTATAATAAGAAACAACAGTCTTTGAAAGAAAAAACGCTACAATTATTTCTATTAAGCATTGGAAATACTAATTCTTTTCTATTTGGATCTTTTCCAGAGCAACCATACATAAAAATGTTCTTTTTTCTTGAATGTCCATGTATGTCACAAAATAGTACCAAGTCTCTTTCTTCTTTTGTTTTTTTAACTAATTATTTTGTATGATATATTGTAGGATGTTATTTCTTATTAGGATCAATCCATTATCTATTTAAATCAACTCCTGCTAAATTACATCTATAATTTCCATTAACAACTCCATCAATATTTAGCATTGGAACTATTTTGAAAATAAAATTCTCTCTTAAAATTCTAGCCTCGTGTGTATTACCAGTTAAAAAATCAATCATATATTCCATAACATAACTAGCCATAGTTTCTCCTGGATGAACTCTTGATGTTATGACAATCCCTTTCTTTTCTTTTCCATTATTGAAATCTCCAATTATCAAAAAATCACACATATTACCAGCAATAGTTTAACATAGTTATTTTCTTTTCACTCTATTCTTTTTTGCTGGATCAGATTCTAATTATTTTAAATATCTGCACAAATGAGTATAAGTATAAGGATAACAATGAGCGATATAGACACAATCAAAGTCATGTTGAAATTTAACAGCAAATGTTAAAGTGTAATAAAATCCTCCATTTTTTCTTTTCATGTTGTTCTGGTAGTAACATATTTCATGGCCATCTCTAAACCATCCAATTTCTAATCAAAATATTAAAAAAACTCTTACTTTTTTATTTTGCTCCCTATTCTGAATACATTAATGGCTTCATTCCTGAGTTATACAATGAATCTGGCTTCATCATGTTTATAATATTGAATCGATATTCAACATCTTTTCTTGTATTTGATAATGAAAAGTAAAACCATTAAGTATTCATTGTAGTGTAATAATCAGGTTTAAGTATCAAATTATACTCATAGTCACAACTTTAATAATATTTTAATTTATAGCTTACATTTATATTGCTCTTCTAAGATTTCCACTTTCAAATCTACTTTCAAAAACTAATGTTGAATCCTCTTTTGATTATGGCAAATAATATGGTAATACTTCCAATCCATAAGTTGCTGGATCAATATCCTATTAAAATTATTTTTAAAATACTTTTGTAAAGGGACTCGGATCTGCACAGTCAAATACAACTTTATTCAAAAGTGTGTCTGCAAAACAGATTCTCTCTATTTCTCTTCTCAAACTCTCCTCCAAAATTGTTTATTTTGGAATGTACATAGGTTCAAATGGTTCATTATGATTTATGAATTCAGGTGAATTAGGTAACAATACAAAATCAGTCCCCCTTTCATTAAAATAAACAATTACGTTCGAGTTAGATATTCAGGGTCCATTTTCTTTATTTCGTTCTTTTATTCTTCAGTCTTGTAATATAATGACTTGTTAATCCCATAAAAATGTTCATCTGTATTAAAATCAATCATATATTTGAAATTAAATATTATAATTCTTATAATTATAAAATAATCCATTAATTCTATTGATGATTATATTCTAGATTCTTGTATTCATGAGATTTTGTTTTAGTTTTTACAAATTGAATAAATATTAATAATTTTTTCATATTGATTCTTCTAATCTATAAATTTAATAATGGCTGAATAAGTTGATATTCTAGATTTTAATGAGGCTCATAGGAATAGAAATTCATAAAATCAAGAGCCTGATCGATATTCTGCTAGGAAAATAAAACAATTACTCACACTTGAAGATGTAGATTCTTGGATGGAATAAATAAAATTACCTTAAAGTAGAAATTTTTAATTTCCATCTTAATTAGAAAAAGCAATTATTCATGCTTAGAGTTTTTATATTCATCCAAACAAGAAATTTCTTAAAGATAATCCTAAAATAATAAATTGTGATTGTTGTGGATAAATGATTAGGAGATAAAGATATAATATATTTACTTGTGATATGTATGCTATTTTTGCAGGAGAATATGGAATTAGTATACCTTTTTATTTTTCCATTATTAAACTACACTTTTTCATTCTATTAACAATAGGCTGTATTTTTGGAATTTATTACTGCTATTTATCAGATAAATATTGCGGATTACTTAATCGAAATAATTAATCAGAAAATGCACTTTATGATTAATACTGTACTACCTTATTGGCAGCATAGCATTTCTTATTATATAGTTTTAATAAATAAGAGATCATAAACGAAAATTATGGTGACCAGAAAACTTTCTATATTTTAGGATATATCGTTTATTTTATAATGATGATGACTCCTTTAATGCATGAAGCTCTATTGAGATTGGAGTAAATAAAATATTGGAAATATGATTCCTTGAATCATATTCGTATTCCTAAATTAACACTATATATTAAACATATTCCAAAAAAAATTAACGAATAAGAACTATAATAATATATTCAATATGCAATAGCTAGTAAGTATAAAGAGAAGATGAGGGATAAATATATTGAAGAGATTGTTTACATATATGATACCCATCCAATTAAAGTTTTAAATGACATAAGATAGGATACTTATCTTAAAGTATTATAAATAGTAAATGAACTAAAAACCTAACCAAAATTGGAATTAAAAGGATAATTAATAGATTTAGTTTTTTAGTTAATAAAATAGACAAGGGATATTTAAAAAACTTTGCAATATGGATTACCATTTACATAAAAAGTTATTTTAAAATTTAATTCAGAATCCGTAACAAATTTAGTTTATAAATATTATGATAAATCATTCTTTAATAGTGTAATTTAAAGGATTGAATCAATAAAAGAATCTGCATAAAATTATTAAGAATTTTAAAAGGATAAAGTTGAACTATAAGCTTAATTGCTTGAATAATCTCAAACTCATAGTTCAAAATCGTCAAATATATCTGAATAATAAGATCTTTAAGAGATCGTGAGAGGCTTATCTGAAACATTTATCAATCCTCCATAAGAAATAAATGCAAAAATGAATTAGAGTATAATAGACCTTTTGAGACTACCAGAAAATGAAGAATAACAAAAATCAAATATATAAAAATCTAATATAGATGAGAAAAAAGGTTTACATTTATAAAGAGGATTTCGATAAGATGACATTTTTTGGGAACACATTGGGATGCATACATTAAAAAGATTATTTTTGAGACTTATAACTACATGCATAACACTACTTGTTGGTATCATAATTATGGCTCTATTTGAAATATTATTTATTTTAGAATAACATTTGAAAAGAAAAGCTGGTTGGGTTAGTAGTTTAGTTGTAATTGTGATGACCTTATTTATTGTATTCCTTTCAGTTTTTTCAACTATACTTGTTATCTTTATGACTAAAAGATCAAAAAGATCTACATATTCTTTATAAGAAAAGAATATGATCACTTTCATGTCACCTATTCAATAAGTCTGTATTCTTGCATTTCCATTTATTTTTGTACTAAGCATACTACAACAATATTCGGCCTTAAATAATATTTCTGTTGTATTGGCAGTTAGTAAATTAGCTTAAGTGAGACTTATTGCTAAAGGAATAATACACATTTTCCATTTGAGATCTGTGAAATATAACTCTACAAAAAAGAAAGTAATGAAAAATTTTTAACCTACTTCATATTTCTAAAAGTAATTAAATTAATTACTCATTCCCCCTCTCTTTCCTATAAGAAGCAGATTATTTTATATTTTATTTATTTATAGCACTGGCATGATGATGATATTTTTTAACCCTATTATGATTATATGGTGTTTGGTATTATAAATTATTTTCTTTTACTATGATAAATATAGTGTCTTAAATGAATACCATTATGACAAACTATTTACTTTCTAACTTCAAAAATATTTAATTCTAACTTATTAAGTAATTATGATTCCTATATATTGTTACATATATCTAGTTACATTCACAAATACCACATAACACATTGGATCAGATGAATCAGTAATTAATAGTAATTTATTCTTAGCTAATTTCTGAATATTCTACCGTTTCTCCTTTGTGGACTTTTCTCGGATATGGCACCTTTATTTTATCATTTGCAAGTTTTTTGTTTTTTCGATAACAAATTGCCAATTTCTTTGTATTTGTAATGCTTAGATATTAAAAGCCTTTGAGAGACTCTACAATATTTAATGAAAAATCATATTTCCAGAGTTATAATGAATATTTTCATGGTATTTTTCATTGTTATATTTAGATTTGGGAGTACATGAATTAAATTCAATCATTGAAGATACATTTAAAAATATGTAATATAAAAATAAATGAATATATATTAAATCACAAAAAGAGTTTATTTTTTAAAAACTTTTATTTTTTGTTTGCAATTTATAATAATAGTAAAATATGAATATAATTTATTGAGAGGTTTGGCTAGTTACTGTTAACAAATTTTATAAAATTTATTTATAAGATTTAATTCATGAGTTTACTTTTCTTAATAATTCAATACAACATATGAAATTAAATTAAATTAGATTACTTTTTAAAAAGGATAATTTAACAACTTTCTAAATAGAATAATATACAGGAATATTAATAATTACCATAAAACTATTTATTTTGGTCTCAAAATTGATAATAAATATAAAATATCTATAATATGTCATTAATTGTACTTAATTTATTTTATGCTTCTTCTAATTTATCAAAATATAATTAAGATATTTTTTTCAAAATAAATTATTTTTATTATTTAAATGATATATTTAATAAATATATCATTAGTTTAAAAGCTTTTTTATTAAAAAGAATAGATCTAATTGATTACTTATTAATTTAAAATTCATCATAAAAATAATCTAATTTTAAATAAATTAAAAAAA